GGTGACAGCAACAGCACCATCATTACTATCGATGAGGTGGTGGTGGAAAAAGGTTTTGCTCTATATACCCTTTCCGTTTTTGCTAAGAAACAAGGAATTTCAGAATAGATAAGTTACAAAATATAGGGCTTAAAATTAACCCCTAGGGTAACCCCGAGTAAAAATATCTATGAAAAATTCCTTGACACAGGTGTTTTCCAACCTTTCCATATAATTTAAAAAGGTGTCTGCACCATTTTTTCTAGAGTTTTTAACTTTTTAAAAAATAAAAGTTATTTAAAGAGCTTACAATTATTTTTTTGTTACCGCTGACAAGAATACTGTTAGTGTTTTGAGTGCGGTAGTTGTCAACATTTACAATAAACAGGAGAATATTTGTTTTTGTGCGTGGTCCATAGTCAGCGCTTTTTATTATAGACCCTAGGTAGCATTCCTGGATCTTCGGGTTTAAAAAAAAAAAACAAAAAAGTCGCTTTTCAAGCAACATTTAATGAAAGATGAATTAGAAAAAATTCTTTACGACTCCGACGAGAATTCTAACGAATCCGCATTATTAGCTGATGTAGATGATGATATTAAAAATGTGGCAGATGAGGAAGAAGTGATTTCTGATGACGTTTACAGTAAGGACATTTTGCTAAAAGCCACTAAATATTTTATTACTTTTAAGGTATTGTTAAAAGTCAACCAGAGGGTAAACATATCGTGAATCAGTGGGACCAACCCGGACCGAGAAACCAAAGAAACAGGTCAGTTTCTAACAGGGCCAGATTACTTACTTTCTTTTTGTATAAAACACTTAAAAGCTATTTATTTTGTCCTCAATGTTAAAGAGTGCCTTTATTTTTATCTACTGTTTACATTTAAATTATATTTACCTTCTTCGACACTGTCAAAATTTAATGTTTTTCTTCTGTGTAAGGAAGTTTTGACAACTGTTTGGCACAGGCATGTAACTATAGGGGGGCCTGGGTGGGCCATGGCCCACCTAAAATTGTGCTGTCCCACCCTTTGGCCCACTTGCTTCAACACAAAAAAAAGATAACATTTTCTAAAATAATTAAATTTATTACTGTTTATACAACTTTAACATAGTTTTTTTAAAAAAAGAAGTATCATTTCCCGAATCACTTTTCACTAACATTAAGTTTTTAAAGACATTTTTGCTTGTTTTTAAAACATGGTGCCCATTGATATCCGGTTTTATCATAATATATGGGTTTTACTTAGCCCACCTTAAAAAACTTTGGACCTATCCTGGCCCACCCAAATATGAGGGCCTAGTTCCGTGCCTGGTCTGGCATTTCTCAATACGAAACGTCAGATTATTTTTTACAGATTTGAAGCAATTTTAAGCCTTGTTGAGTCTAATTCAAAAAATAAAATATTGTATTCAACTCGTCTTCGTGTAAATCGGTTCATTTATTTCATCTCGTGGTAAACCACCATTCGTTAACACTCGTGGTTTAAGAATCCACTCGTAAAATAAAGCGTCCTATTTACACTTAAGCTCGTCGAATAAATAAAAATTGTTGTAATTTAAGAAATTTAACAAAGCCAGGTGGTTAATGAATTGTTGCCTCAAATCTTGCAAGAAGTTGTTGGTCGTAAACTGAAGAGTAAAAGACGTTATTCACCTTAAGTTTTGCTTTGACGCTTTATTTTTATTCGCCAAAGACCTACAACTACGTAAGAAAATGCTTAAATCCATCAAATATGAGGCAGTGGTATCGAGTGGTGGATGGGGCACCAGTGTTTACATCTAAGGCTCTGCACGCAATTTCATTACGGTCCGCTGGATCCAAGCCCACTACTTGCAATCTAGTTGTGGATGAGATTGCTGTCAGGGAGCAAATTATTTATGAGAAAAACAAGTTTCATGGTGGTGTTGATCTGGGTACAACTTCTGATGTAGTTAATGATAATGATAATATTACGCCTGCGAAAAACGCTTTGGTCTTCATCGCAGTGAGTTTAAATAGCCATTGGAAGATTCCAATTGGTTACTTTTTAATCAAGATCCTAAATGAAACAGGAAGGGCAAATTTATTAAAAGTAGTATGTGCACTATTTTAGGAGCAAATTTTAATTATTGTAGTCCCGATTTTAAGCCGTATTTTGTCAATCCTGTTAACAATGAAAAAGTTTTTGTTTTTTTTTTAATTTAGTCCAAATGATAAAATTGGTACGAAATACTTTAGAGAAGAAAAAATTCTTAAAAGTAAGTCTGAAGATCTAATCAAATGGGAGTACATACAAAAATTACTCCAATATCAAACCACACACTGACTACGAGCCGCCAATAACTTAACAGGATTAACGTCAGATTAGCAATGCAGACTCTCAGCAAAAGCGTATTCAAGTCATTGTATTTTCTAAATCAACTTGATGATAAATAAGCAAAACAGAATTTTGAAGGATGATTTTCGACTGCAAACTTTTGTTTGCAATTTAATAATATTGCTGAAATTTTACATTGCAAAAATAATTTTGCTAAAGGTCAGTTTAACCGACCTCTAAATCGGGAAACATGCTTCTTTAAAAGAGTCCGCTATTACTTTTAAAAAATATATCCTTTCTGTGCGAGACGTAGAAAATATTCCTATCATAAAAACAACGCAAAAAACAGGATTTTAGAGTTAATTGTTGGTCTACAAAATATGTTTGAATATAATCAATCAAATTGTACCAATCATTTCTTCTGACTTACACATTGTCACAGGTCTACTTGGAGACTATTTTCAGTGCTATCCGTAGCCGTGGTGCTACCTATCCTAATATGATTCAGTTTAAATAAACATACAACCGCCTTCTCATTAGGCATAAAATAAAAGAAATTGAAAATAGAAATTGCCTATTTGACAACATCGATATATTGCATGTTTCCTCAAAAAAGGAAAGATTTACAAATCCTATAATTAATTACAAAGTTCTCCAAAATGTGGAAATAGATTTTGCCCATGACTACATAAAAACATTTTGGGAATTATCGCCTTTTGTTAAGGTTACAAAATACATTTCTGTCATGAATTGTCTTACATGCAAAGAACAATTAATTGAAACAAATATGCCTTTACTCAGTAAAATAAAAGACTGGAGGTCATATTTAGCACCCTCTGCAGATACTATTTCTATATGTCTAGTGGCTGAAAAAATGGTTCGGCATTATAAACATTGTAATAAGCCAAATTTGAAAAAGGAAATTTGTAATAAAAATGCCCAATCTGTTGGCCCTATGTTGAAAATGCATGTAAAAACGCAAGATTATTTCGAAGCGTCCATGAGAGAACGGCACAAACGCCATTTTGAGAAATGCTCGTTTGCGCCCAGAGCCCTACCCCGTAACGCAATTAAAATATTCAGACTTTTTAGATTTCAAGTATTTGATTGCCGAACGACGTTTGAAACTTAAAGTTTCAAGTTTGAAAAGAGTTATAATGTTGAAGGATAATTATAAGCTCACATATTGTACATCTTTTGTTGACAACCAATCGAAATCAATATTATTCAAATTAAAAGAAGGATATCAGCTCCTCGTCAAGCCTATACGAAAGAGCAAAGTATCAATAAACTGAAATACGAAAATCTACAATCTTTATGTAGACAAAACATCATAAAACCTGAGTATCACCTCGAATATTTGATGTACTCGATGAGACTGATTTTGAAGACGATGATAGTTTCTAAACTTCAGCACTATTATGTGATTTTAAAAATGCCAAAGTTTAGTTACTTCAGTTTGTTATTTTAGTATTTATATTTGTTTTGCGAAAATCTTTAATTTTTCATTTTTATAATTTTTGGATAAAGTAAATTTATTTTTTAGAAAATTGTGTTTATTTTATATTTTTTTTTTGTTTTTGTATTCAGAAATATTAAAGAATTTTTGTAACTTTTCTTGAAGACCTTTGTTGACCCAACCGCCCAAAAAATTTTAAACGTAATAAAAATTTATTTGGCACAACTCAGCTCAAACGGCAAATCTAAACAATAAATCATATAACACCCGTCACAAACACCATTTCCAATTTTTGCATAAACGACAAATAGAAGACTCATTTGGCACAAACGACACTGATTTAGAACTTATTTTTTATTTTCGTTGGAGTTTAGGGTACCATAACAAAAATTACAAGAATTATTCCAAAAAATCAAGACTTTTAATATAAAAAATGGTCAAATTTGTATTACATTTTATTACAAATTTTATTACTTTTGACAACAATTTGACATTTGGCGAATGAGCCGTTTTGACATGGACGCGTCGATTTAGATAATCATCGTTTTCAACTTATTAAATTAATTATTGAATTATATGTCTGCTAAGTGTCTTGACCGGGACTGTATCCCCAAAGTATGGTCGGGATTAAACGCAATGCATCAAGCCCGCGTTATTAATCATAAAATACCCTATACAACATAGGTATAACTTATCATAAGTACGGCCACTGCCATCCACAATTACAATACATAAAATGGTCCTTCGAGCCGGATTAGCGGCTTAATAATATAAAAGTGCATCGTGCAATCAAGAGATCAATAATCCTGGAAAGTCCAGAAGCCCGGAGTGCCAGTAACCAGAGCCGTCACCGATCCGTTCCTTCAGCATCGAGCGCATCAACGGCGGCGGATCAGGTTAGTTCAGTGTTGCCGTTTTTAGTACAATGGTACTAGATTTAGTACAAAAGCATATTTTCTAGTACCGCAGTACACCTTTTACAAATCTAGTACCATTTCAAGATTGACGTTAAATTTTTCATAAATGTCATAAATTACCATAACACGTCACCGCAGAGTCACCGATTACACCTTGCGCAGTTGCACCAATCTGTGAGTTGCATCATGTGAGTTGTGAGTTTGTTATGCTTATGCAGGTTGCACGTTTCTGTTTCTATTCTGTGATGCAGGATGCAGGTTATGCACAGATTTGTGAGTTATGGTTTGAATTTGAGGTTATGTGATGATGTTCAGCATAAATACGGTGATGTTTACGTATAAACATGGACAAGTAAGTTAAAATTAAGTTTTCTGCTACCACAACAAAATATTTTAAGGTTCGTAATTAAAAAAAAGCAAAGTAATGAGTCGCCTTCGCCCTCGCCTTCGTGTTCCTCTGTTAGTTATCATCGTTATGAAGAATCAGCTACTAACGCGGACACGGATAGTAAGAGTAGCAGTGAACATGAAAATGAAAGCAACGATGAATTGGTGACTTCTCAAAATCCAACTAAAAAGAGAAAATTTTATAAACAGAAATTCAGACCAGAATGGCGAGAAGAATTTACTTTTGTTGAAACGGATAAGTCTGGAACAAAGAGTAAAGTGTGTAATATAACAATTCAGGGTTCACTTTCTCACATAAAAAGACATGCTCAAAGGAAGTCTCACATTGATAACTACAATGCAGCAAAGAAAACACCAAAAATTTCATCATTGTTAAAAACTGCAAAATTAACTTTGGCCAAACAAATTAGCAAAGCTGAAATAAAAATTGTGTTTTTTTTGTGTGAGAACAATCTGCCATTTGCTTTAGCAGATAAACTTACAGAACTGCTAAAAGATGAAGTTTTTAAAAATCCTGATGTGATTCAAGGTATCAAATTGAAAAGGACCAAGGCCACGAAACTTGCTAACAATGTATTAGGGCCAAAAGCAAAGCTGCATATTAAAAATAAATTAATAACAGAAAAACAGTCATTAATTATTGATGAAACTACAGATGTTAGTATAAAAATAAGTTTAGTCATAAATAGTCGCTTCTATAATAGCGATGTGAAGAAGGCTGTGAAAGATCATTTTGTTGATCTTGTTGACGTAGAAGACAGTTCAGCAAAGGGTATATTTGCTTGTGTCAAAAGTGTGCTTGACAAAAATAATGTGCCATATGCAAATATTGTTGGATTTGGTTCCGACAATGCAAATGTAATGATGGGGGAATTCAATAGTGTCAAGCAAAAATTAACAGAAATTTGTCCAGGATTAGTAGCACAAGGATGTGCTTCACACACATTGCATTTAATTGCTTCACATGCAGCCAAAAAACTGCCAAATGTTGTTGAACAATTTGTACGTGACATTTATAACCATTTCAGTAATAGTTCTAAAAGGACACATGAGCTTAAAGAATTTCAAATATTTGTAGAAGAAAAACCACGGAAAATGTTAAAACCCAGTCAAACGCGGTGGTTATCATTAAGAGTATGTATACTGATTTTATAATAGGAATAATATTTTGCTAATTAATTGTTACTTTTTAGGAAGTATGCAATAGAGTACTTGAGCATTGGAATTCTTTAGTTCTGTATTTTCAACACGCTGTGCTTGAAGATCATTTGCCATCGGCAAAATCTGTGTTAACCGCTTTAACTAATCATATTTACAAACTTTATGTACAATTTTTAAGTTTTAAMTTAGACCGCATAACTCAACTGAATCTTGAATTTCAATCTGAATAGTCAAAGATGCCATTTTACTTACAAAAAATTACTGCTTTGTATAAAAGTATCTTAAAATGTTTTATAAAGTTTGACGTATTAAAAGCAACAGACCAAATACAATCAATAAACGTAAATCATCCATCAAATTTTAAAAATCTTAAGGAAGTTTATTATGGCGGAAAGGTCGATGCTTTTTTAAAAAATCCAATTGAGGTTGCCAAAGTATCGCCAGCTGATCTCAATTCTTTTAAAATCAAGTACTTAGATTATTATGTTGAACTTGCCCAACAAATTAAAAACCGTTTCGACTTTGAGAATAAATATTTAAAGTTTGCTTCATATTTTACACCAGAAAATGCAATGTCAGGTAATATTTTTACAATATCAGAGTTTGTAAATCTATTTCCTGCTCTAAGAGATTTGGACATAGATAAGGTAAATATGAAATGGCAAACCCTACCTGACATTGAACAATTTAAAGCTTGTAAAGTTTTATCGCTGTGGAACGATTTGCCCTTAATTAAAAACGAACTTGGCCAATCAATGTTTGCAAATTTATTCGAGGTAGTTAAATGTGTTTTAATTTTACCTCATTCTTCTGCATCCGCCGAACGTAAATTTTCAGAACTTTCAATAATTAAAACTAGTAAAAGAAACAGGTTAAATATTGAGACTATTTCAAGTATTATTAGTATTAAGCAATTAGCTTTGCTTAATCGCAATTTATGTGATATTTAATGTTAATATTTAGTTTACGTTTATTTTTGTTAAAACAAAAGATACCTAATAGAGTTGACTGAAACGTAAGTCTGATTTATGTTTTTTTATTATTTTTTTTTGTAGTTTTACTGTTTATTTTTTTCAGTTGTAAACTTTTGGGTAAAATAAAATTTAATAGTTTGCGTTACCGCTGTAAATATTTTATTACTCCTAATATTATTAAATTTCCCGCTTTCAGTACAATGACAAATCTAGTACCACTTCTCCTTCTTTCTTAGTACATTTTTTTTTCTGTCTGTGGCAACAATGGGTTAGTTAGTTATCCTTTCCGTAAGCATGTGCATCTCCTCTCGTAAAAATGGCTAGCGACGAAGAAAAAATTGTCTCTATCGAGCAATTAAAAGTGGAATTTCAAAGCATATCTCAACGTATGGGCATTGAGACCTTGATGATAAATTATGATATGTACAAATGACTCGGATGATCCTCCTAGTATCACTGAATATAATTTTAACAAAATTAAAAATAATTTTTATGAGATCCCGATGATGTTAATGGATCTAGATGGAAGAGATTGGATCTGCATAATTTAAACAATACTGCAATAGAAGTGTTTAAATGTGACAATATTTCTACAACAAATTCTATATTGTATAATAAGTTAAGACTTGTTTTTGCCGATAGAAGTTAAGAAGATAATGATTGGAAAAGTATTAAAATAATGATTTTGATGTGATAGATAACAGGAAAATTGTATGAGTAATATACCAATTTTTTTCTCAATCTTAGACATAGCTTTTTTGTTGGGCGCTGTTTTTGCTGGTACTCCTATTATGTTGTAAATGGTATGAGAATTATAATAATTTGAAATATAAAATAACTGAATTTAAAAAACAATAGATTTATGTACGTAGAATGTATTATTATTGTGTAAAATTAAATAAAAATCTTATATTTTTACTGTTTCCTTGAGTATAAAACCACAATATCTTGTTTTTTTTTTCTTTTCCTGCATTTATACGTGATTCATACGTGATTCACACGTGAATAATACATACAAAAATGATGTAAACAACCGCAGATATTATAACTAATCAGTTCAGAAATTTGAAGCTCTAATGTTTCTAATTGAAAGGGTGCTGAATAATTTGTATTGTTTTGTAAATACATTAGATATTGAAAGTAATTATTACGAGTACAACACGTTCCGAACCTATATTTGAGTTATACAGATTATAAAAAAAGACCGATATCCGTATTCGATTGTTCCAAATAAAACGAAGCAATTCGAAGTTCCATCATTGATATGAGCTTAGAATTTGAAAGCGATAACAATTTCTCGGTTGATAAAAGAGCTTATGGTATTATCATTCATAACAGAATAATGCAGTACCATAACAGAAATAATTAGACAATTGATGGAAAGATGAAAAAACATGTTACAATAAATGATTGTGCTCCGGAAGTACATAACCTAATAGTTTGGTCATATACTTATGAACATGCTAGAGAAGGAACCTATTGGAGACAATGTGCTGTAGACAGAGAAAGGTTTCAATTTAGAATTAATCAAATGGAAAATATTTTAAATGAAACCTTAAATACTGCTCATCGCAAGAAAATTTATCTGTCTCGATTGAATTCCTCAATATGAAGATTGTAGTGATTGATGCTCAAGGGTTTTGTATACCTGAATTCATCGTTAACGAACTAACCATATTTGATAGATATCGAACCGGTGATTATTTATTTAAATCACCAACACCGCTCGTGAACTAAGTGCTGATGTGAAAAAAACAAGTGAAATATTTAGAATTGAATCATGTAACAACAGTGGAATTATCGATTATGAAAATATCTATAACATATTAGAAGAACATGCTATTGATGGGGTTGTTGATATCATTTATATAAAAGGAAACATTAAACAGATTTTTTAAGAGAATTTTTCGTTTCGAAAGACTACTATCCCAGAATCATCAATTTAGAAGAAACAAACTTTTGTTGTGGTTGTAGTTGCAACCACAACTTCCATTATGTATGCATCATTTTTAAAGAAATAAAACATTTATTTGTATTTACTTCTATTGCACTTTAAACAGTAGGGAAGTAGTGTTGAGAATGACTAGTGTATTCTAAAAGTTTATTTTGCTTTCGTTGTGATATTTAACAAACCCGGACAGGTCTTCTGATTAGCATCATGCTATTTATAGTTTACACAAACGTGAGACAAGTGCTCAACATACAGAAAATTCTAGTAATTTAAAAAAATGTTTAAAAAAAGAAACTACCACTGATCATCATCAACAAAAATTGTATAAGTCGGAAAAAAACGATGGTACGCCGTAATCTAACGATTGATTGCAATAATATTATTTCTTTCGAAACAGTGCCTAGCTTTTCGCGGATATTCTGAGCAATTATATGCTCCTGAAAATGGTAATTTTCTAAAAGCCCTTGAAATGATTGCCAGATTTGACAACATAATGTCTGAACATTTAAGAAAAATTGAAAGTGCAAAATAGTTTTGGTATGGATCCATATACAGGGTACTTCACGAGTGATAATGAGCCTGACGGAATTGAAAATACAACCCACAATACATTTATACCCACAAAGTTAACGTGGATATTTTAGATATCGCATTGTTTGAAAAACCGAATTATAAATCCACGATAGCTTTGCTTCGATAATTTTATTTGTCACAACCATGTCAAAACTGACATTAGCAAAATTTCAAAATGCATTCGAACGATGAGAAAACAGATCTGATTTTCATTTATGACGAATTTGGGAAAAATACTTCTTTTGTAAACACAATGTTTCCTGTATAGAAAAGCTCCAAAAAGGCTTGAAAGTGTTTTCCAATGGTAGATAGACAATAACCTTAAAAATTGTGTTTCCAGTCTTGTCAATCTCTTTGTGTCAGTCATGCGATAACTATGTTTTATTAATTTTAAAATTCATAATCAAAATCCATGAAGCCTATGCAAATGTATTGCTGGCTGCAGTTCAAATGTGGTCAAGCTCATTATCACTCGTGAAATACCCTGTATAAATTGCTATGCTTTGCAGTAATCAATGCGGCAATAATAATAATGAAGTTTTCAACTATGACACATCCAAACCTTTGCGAAAAGACAGGAAGTTTTTTAAAAGTGGGCATGTTGGTGATATGCAGGACCGCTTAACTGTTGAGGATAAGCACCACTGCCTTAAAAGTAATGATCGGGCTTTTATGTGCAATACTCTAGTTACAATGTTCTCGTTATGGTCCTTAAAGAGACTGGCAACATCATGTGCCTGCAAAGCATCGACCATGGAAAGGTATAGTCACGTGGTAGGGATGCTTTTTTCTTTAGAAGATTACATAATCACTTTTGGATGTTCACCAACGTGTTGCACATGCAAACTGTGTGCTTGGAACCAGGCCTGTAAAGAGAAATACCCAAGCCAAATAATGAAAGGAATTTACAATAATAACAAAAACATGCAGCTTGTTCCATATTTCCAGCCACTGGAAAACACCAAGTCTGCAAATAAAATCAATAACGACTTTTTGGCAAAAAAAAACAATTTGGAGCCCTTTATTAATTTATGTATGTGATGACTATTCAAATACACTATGTCGATTATCTGTCTTGAATACCAAAATATGTATTTTAAAGAAACCTTGCATTCGGCCTTAAAAATCCAAGAGAAATTCCTGGCACAAAACATCAAGCAAATTGCACAAAATGGAGAAGTGTAGTAGTAGGTATATCATATAAGTAATCATCGCTCCCCCATCCATGAAAAAGCTCTCCGTTATCACCTGTAGGGGTTGTTTCTCAAAATATGAGGGTTGGAAGTCTCGCCTTCTAGAATTTTCCTGAACAGTCTAGAGAATTGCACAACAGTCCAAAATGTTCTGGAAAAATGTTCCACGTCGATCCGGCGACCATTATTCTCAGTTGAACGAGGCGGTGGGCGCAAACCCAGAGCCACAGGACACAATTACATCCTTGGCATTTTACACATAAACATAACCCTCGACTTCGACATCTGACACGCCAGAGGCACAGATTATGCAGTGGAAAAGGTCCCTTAATTCGTCGTACTCATCAGTGTTGCCAGGTCTAGTGAAATTTTACTAGATCTAGTGATTTTTTTTCAATCTAGTGATTTAGTGAAAACTTTTATAAAAATGCCCATTTCTAGTGATTTTTGTAATAAAGTGTCAATTTTATTTAAATTTGCGTTTTTTATGCATTTTGAGTATAATTTTTTATTTTATTTTCTCGAATTTTCAGTTGTTGTGCATTTGTGCATTTTGAGTATAATTTTTTATTTTATTTTCTCGAATTTTCAGTTGTTCCACACTCATTAATTTCATGTCTTTAATGTGCTGCCCTCTAACGGTGAGTAGACAAACATTAATTCCAAATTGATGTCATCCAGGCTGAAAACTGTATGAATATGCGCGGTCTGTGATTCCCAAAAAATTACTTTTCGATAGAAAGGGATTTCCCCGGAAAAAATTAGATGCCTGAGGCTATAAATAGACGCGAGGCGAAGAATTGCGTCATTTTCATTTTGCAATTACTTGAGGTTGCGTGTTGCAATACCTAATAAATTCATTAACAACCTAAAACAATTCTTTTTCTAATTTTGTTTATTGTGTGTATACAAGTGACCACCGAGAAAGTAAGTATGTGTCTGTTTTTTATTTATTTATTTCATTTTTCTAATAGTTGTTTCTTTACCAAGTACCGATTGGTTGAAAGAGTTTTTTTTCTAATATTGCATTTTAGTTTATTGGGTCTAAGTGTATTACATATTTGTTCCAATTATAATTTGTTTTGTTTCTCTATTAGATTGACTCCAAGATGAGAAAATTTCTGATTACCACCAAGAAAAACCAACCTTCCAGACAAAAAGAACCATCGCCAACGCCAACGCCATTGCTATCGCCACAACCATCTACCAGTGGAAGTAGTGGCATACAAAAAACACAGAAATTCGCCGCCAAACCCGATGAGAAAGAACCGTCAAATTCGGGATCTTCATCGGATCCAGATGCTGGAAAGTTGGAAAAACCCCCGAAAAAGCAAAAAGTGTATACCCAAAAATATAGAACAGAATGGGAACGCATGGACGATTTTAAAACCTGGATTGAAAGCAGCAAAAGGGGTAAAGAATATTTTAAATGTAAACTATGTAACAAAGAGTATATCGGAGGTATAGCTGCGGTAAAAAAACACAATGAATCAAACAAATATAAAAAAAAATGTCTGTTACTACAAAGCAACCTACCTTAACAAAAAAGTCATTTACGGTTTCTAGTGACAAAATAATAAAACAAAACGAAATTAGAATTGCTAGCTTCATTGTTAAACATAATGTTGCAATTAATCTTTCTGATCACCTCACCGAGTAAGTAAAATCAATTGTTCTGTCCGGAATGGAACCGGCACAGGTTTCAAAACTTTCATGCGGCAGGACAAAATGTACAGCACTTATTACCAATGTCATCGGGAAAACAAGTTTCGAAAATTTACTCGATAAATTAAAAACTAAAAAATTTTCGTTGTTAGTAGACGAGTCTACAGATCATTCTTCTATTAAGCACTTAGCCCTTGTTGTTCGCTACAGTGAAAATTTAAATGTTAAAGACGAATTTTTAACTCTCATTCCCGCCGCAGATGCTACTACACAAAACCTCTACAAATTAATTGTGAATTTTTTTAATGCAAATAATGTACAATACAAAGAAAATTTAATAGGTTTTGGGGCAGACGGTGCAAACACAATGATGGGTAACGTAAATTCATTAAAAACTCTCTTATCGAATGACGTTCCACATCTATTCGTGATGAAATGTATTTGCCATTCTTTGGCATTATGCGCTTCACACGCCTGTCAAGTTTTACCAGATACAGTAGAAAAAATGCTACGAAATGTATATACATACATGCAGTACAGTTTTAAAAGAAAATCAGAATTTCAGCAGTTCCAAACTTTCCTAAATATAAAACCACATAAAATGTTGCACCCTGCTCAGACTAGATAAACGCAGTAATCAATAGAGTTCTGGAGCAATATGAAGCTTTGAAGCTTTATTTTAGATATGATGGAATATCTGGTGCTGCTGAAATTCATAATTCGCTTAATAATCTCGTAACCAAGCTTTGCAATTTTTAGAATTCGTGTTACCCATATTTACAGATATGAATGTAGATCTGAGGCACCTAAAAAATACATCTGCTGTATGAGAGGATGTCCTCTGCTTATAAATTATTATTAAGTTTTTATATTAAACCGGATTACTTAAAAGTGACAGATGTAAGTAAGTTGCAATATCGGAATCCCGCAAATTATGTTTCTCTAGATAAATTGTATTTAGGGCCAAAAGTAGCAGCAGCATTAGCTGAAAAAATATTGGATGAAGGCGCCTTACACACATTCCTTTCGAATTGCTTAAATCTTTACGTTCAAGCTGTACATGAAATTTACAAAAGGTTTCCTTTTCAGTCCAGAGATACAGATAAAACAACTCGATTTTTTAAATCCCAAAAAAATTATAAATATCGAGAGTATTGGTCCATTAGTATCTAAATTTCCAGGGATTAATACAGATATTAATTTACTGGATAGAGAATATAGGCAAATAAAAAATTCTGACCTAGATTTCGAGATGGATGAAATGATGAAATAAAGTTTTGGCAAAACATCTGTGACTTAAAAAAGGAGATGGAAATTTAGCCTATCCTGAAATTTCAAAATTTGTTAATATTTTATTTGCCTTGCCGCACAGCAGTGCATGTGTCGAGAGAATTTTTAGCACAATAAATTTGAACAAAATAAAAGTGCGGAATAGATTGAACACTAATACCCTAGCAGGCATTCTCTATTCAAAACGTTTAATTTTAGAGAATAATTGTTATGATTTTGAAATTACAACTGAATTATTAAATAATCATAATAATAAAATGTATAATTAGTTTTTTTTGTCAAATTTTTGTATTGTTATATGTATTTAATACATTGTTAATATATTATTGTTCCTATATGAAATAGTGTGTATTTTTTTTAAATTAATAAACAATTTTACAATGTTTGTATGAAATTAAAAGAGTTTTAAAATCCCCATTCCCCCTCCACTCGAATTTCAAATTTAGTGAAATTTTAGTCCGATCTAGTTACTTTTCCAAGCGCCATCCAAAAACTTTTCAGATTTCGACCTGGCAACACTGGTCCTCATATCAGTCGTATCAAACGACCTGAAGATCTATCACCTGAAGCTAGAGGTCTTTATCAGCAATTGAAAAAGGTTAAAAAACAATTGCAGCGTGGAGGGTCAACTTTACTTAGTTATTTGAAGGATGGTAATGAAATTACACATTTTATTTTATGTCAAAAACGGAATCAAAAACTTAATCCTAGAGGTAGACGTTTTTCCCAAGAAGATAAAATTTTGGCATTATGTATCCTTAAGCAAAGTGGAAAAGAGTACAGATATCTCTCGAAAATTTTTAGTTTACTCTCAAAAAAAAAAAAACGTTAAACAAATTGGTCAACCAAATACCGCTGATGCCAAGAATAGATAAACAAATTTTTGTACATCTTGAGAAAGCTGTTCAGAAAAAAAAGCCCATTGAAAGATACTGTGTGCTCATGTTCGATGAGATAGCGTTAGAAACAAGTCTTCAAAATAATACAGATTTAGATTGTATTGATGGATTCGTAGATTTTGGGGAAGGGAATCGATGAAGGCATTTTGCTTTAGTTTTTATGGTAAAAGACATTTATTCTCATTGGAGCAACCTATTTGCTATTCATTTTATGAAAGTAATACGCCAGCTGTTGATTTAGCTAAATTAATAAAGATGTAGTAAAGCATGTTCGTCAGACAGGTCACAATACAGGGTGATTCTTAAATAGACCGACAAAATTTTATCCTTGGTAGTATCAAATGAGAACATGCTGGAAAAAATATTTAAAAAATTCTTTATTTAAACGTTCTCCAAATAAAATTTATTAAAGTTGTTTTCGAAGTAAAGCGTACGCCACTGATGTGTTAGCACAGGTAGTGGAAACCATGGTATTAACGTGATGAAAATGTACTTGATCATTGCAACAATCCATAAACGCCGTAAGTGGCACGGATCAAGGGGGTTTTGCCCCTAAAAGGTATAAACGTGAAAAGGGTACAGTTTGTCTCCATTTATCCTTAGGAAGCTGTGATAAAAATTTTTCGGTCTGTTTAAGAATCACCCTGTATAGTTGTAACAATATATAACCAGAGATCAACCAAGGGTGTTGCCATTAAAAGTTTAATTGCAGTGTGATGGACCAATCGGTGTTATTTGGCAATGCCAAGAATTCGGTTGCCTTATGCTGACCAGGTCCATTGCAACTTCGATAGTTTATTGTTTAAGTATTTCATTAGTATTTCGTATAGCTTTGTAAGTATTATTATTACGATTAATGTAACTAGGTTAGGAGATATGGAGGTGGTCTTAGTGACCTATTGTTATAAATATGAGGATGCCACCAACAAGAAGTAAGAATAAGTAAGAGTCAGTAGAAGAATCTATAACAGTTGATCAGTAACAATGAATTAGTTAATAATTAATAAGTGACTAATGTAGTGAATAAACAATTAACACTGGTACTGGCGTTTGATAACCGAACCCCCTCAATCCATACATTGCAGCAGATACAAACACCTATTGTTTGAGAAATAAAATTCAAAATACATTTCAGAGATATTTAGTAGATGGGGGAGGAAATAGGTGCATTTGTTTGACGTTCCCCATTTTGATAGGCAATAGAAATGCTTTACTGAAATATAATTTGCGGCTCAGACACGATGATGTTGACAAAGAAGCCTCCTGGTATTATTTAATGAAACTATATAGATTAGATAAAAAAAATGGGAAAACCTTCCCAAACACACGAACATGTTTTGCAACATAAAATTAAAAAAACTGAAAGTAAAAACACACGACCTATTTGTTCTTCTTATGTTTCTCCTTTTAAAGCTCGTTTAATTAATAATCTTGTTTCACCACGCTCCGTAGAATCTAACTCTAAAGAAGATGAATTTTGTGGTGTTTTAAACCCTTTGGATATGAAAATTTCGTGCCTTTGCATTCTTTTTCTTTATGGGATAACGTTGACGAAAAAGTTGAAATGCAAAATGCTATATCAATTCCAACTGCTGCCGGCATAGAGCTTGAGAAATATTTAAATGAGCCAATAATTATTAGGACTCAAGATCTGTTAGTTTGGTGGAATAAAAGAAAAGATGTTTATCCGAGATTGTATGATTTAATAAATAAAAAAGATTATGTGTAGTATCCACATCAGTTCCATGTGAGCGTATGTTTAGTAAAGCCGAACATTTGTCCAACCAACCAACAAAAGAAACCGGCTAAGTAGCTCTAAAACATCACAAGTTCTATTTTTAAATTACAATTTATAATTTATCACGCCTTTGCTCATATTTTTTAAGAATTAAAATTTATTTTTAAGTATAAACGTATTTTAATTATTTTTTCCCTTCCACTTAATCAAATTGACTATTTTGATTGGACAACTGCAACCGATAGTAAAGCATACTAGGTTCTCTTGGCCAGCTAAAAAAGTTATATTTTACTAAAAAATAAATCAGTTAACAAACTGTTTGCAATTAATATTTATTTCGGAATTAAATGTAAATTTTAAATATATTGATATCGGATAATCCCACTAATGCAAGCACTAAAATGAATCCACAACGGAATGCAATTCCGTTATCGGCATAGAGTCGGGAATACGTTTAAACAATTTTTAGTGTTTAAGTTTAGGAATTAGTGTTTTGTTGCAATATTAAGTTATAAGAGGTAAAAAAATGCCTAATTTATAGGCAACATTCTAAGATTTTGTTAATGGGACGTGATGAGTTTGAGCCGAAATCCCTGTTCTGTGCCAGGGTGCCACAATAGAGAAAGG